CTCAGGGATTCGGATCTTTGTAAGATCGATCAAGGGTCGCTTCCCCTCCTTTGATTTAGGATGCAGAGTAGGTTTTCGGTCCTTCACAGACTTGTTCCTCCCAGAATGGGAAGGCTTCTTGGCAGACTGCTCCTTGTTAGAGTCATCCGACTTTTTATCAATGAGGTTCTTTATCTCCACCTTGAAACTTGTCATGAATCTCATGAGTTCGTCTCGGGTGATTGGGGTTGTTCCATCGGCCACCTGGGGTTTTCTAGACGGCTGTCCAGATGGTTGACTTGGACCTGCTTGATCATCGCCCTGTCCCCTTCTTTCGATGGGACGAGTGCGTCTTGTTCTAAGTGAACCGTCGGCAGCCACACATGTTTCGGCTTCAAAGTCGACATCAGTGTCTTGGTCCGTATAGACCTGAGCGTCGGCCATTGGCCGTTTCTCACTAGGAGGCGGTATAATTTCTTGTGAAGCCATATTAGAAGTACTCTCCCCACAAATGGCGCCAAATGTTTCAAGGTTTTCTGTGTCCCTCGGGAGAGTTACAACACCAAGACTAGATTCTGAGCGCCTAAACCTGCAAAACAACGGAGACTCTGGTTGGGTGGAGTTCCGCGTCCGATGGTCAAGTTAGAACATGTTCGGAAGAGAAAAAGTGCGAAATATAAAGTGAGATCAGGTTTCTCTATGGTGAGAAATGATCATCCGGCTATCATAGACAGCCTCGATATCTAAGCCTTTACTCTCGTAATTTTTATGGATTGTACGTCTTGAATGTGTTTCCGTGGTGGAAACATCTCCCTTTTATAGGGTCTATAAGCGTCCAGTCCTAGGTTACGGAAACCTAGGACTGATTGGGCTACCTAGGAGTTTGGGCCTTTGAAGGTCGCCTTTCCTAGTTGGATATCTGTCGGCCACATGTCGAGCCCTTGTTAGTCCACTTAAGGCTCTCCTTAGGCTGTCATGTGGCAGACTTTGATTGGTCCACGTGGCGGGGTAAAAATCCCCTAATCAATAATAATAATAATAATAATAATAATAATAATAATAATAATAATAATAACTACTCTACTCTGTTGAAATCTGCTCTACACTGCTCTACTTACACTTGCTCGGGGTTGGTGCGAGTTGGGTCAAGAAGGGTAACAACTTATAGGGTCAATAGCGGGTCGAGGGTCATTAGTGGGTCAATAATGGGCGGGCAAACAAACTATCAATTTAAATAAATATTTGACAAATCCATTATTAAGTATATATAGATACAAAAATATTTATGTAATTTTTTTAACATTATCTATTTTTCTTTATTTATTAAATTGAAAAAACATTTTGGTCCTATATTGACCCTATCCAACAAGAACCTTGTCCATTAAAGGGCATGTCTATTAAGAGCCCTTTAAGCTTGGCATTGGCTCTATAATCATTGGGCTGCCCTACCCAATAACCAAGTCTACTCTTAACCAAAAGTTTAACCAGATAATTGAAGCCCGTAATTGTTTTATATACTCTATCACTTTTTTCATACTGTTTAGGTTTTCATGTGCATATTGAGCACACTATACACTGGCTTGCATTATCTAATTTGCGGGAGGAAATTCTTATTAAGCTGGCTGCACCATTCATTAATTACCCCATTTATACACCAAACATACATATATACTATGTACTACTTGTACATATCACTTTATCTCTTTCCTCCAATCTTCTTCCTACCTTATTTCTTTCCTTGTTTCTTAATTTTTACATAATTTTTCTCTTTTTTCCTAATTCTTTAATTAATTCTTAATTTTGGTTGAAATTTTCTTTCTCCTCTGTATTTGACATTATCTTCTTCTTTTAAGATTTTCTCTCTCCTCATTTTTTTATTTTTCATTGATTCGTGATGGATTTAATTGGAATCTTGAAGAGATAGTTGATACAGGTTAGTTTATGTCATTGATTTGTAATTTGGTCTAATTAGGTTATATTTTCTGAATTTGTGATTGATATTGCATATATAATTTTTGGGTATTTTTTCAATTTTTAATATGTGACATATATAATTTGGTCTAATTAGGTTATATTATCTAATTTTCTTTCTCCTCTGTATTTGACATTATCTTCTTCTTTTAAGATTTTCTCTCTCTACTCGTTTTTTTTTTTTTTTTTGTATTATTTTGATCTCTAATCTATCATTTTATAGATCGGTCATTATAACCTAGATTAGATTTAAGGTGGATTCAAAATTTTTGAGTTATTATAATTACAATCGAACTTGTGCATAAACGCTGTAAAAAATAAAAAATGAACACGTAATACTTTAAAATTGAACATTTAATACAAAATGAACATTTAGTACATTAAAATTGAACATTTAGTACATGAAAAATGAACATATTTTAACTTGTTCATTATTTTACGTGTTCATTTTTTTTAATGTGTTCATATATCTTTATAGAATGTTCATTTTATTAGATATGGTCCAACTTTTCTATGACTGTATGATAAATGTTCATATTTAATATACTAAATGTTCATTTTTAATATACTAATTGTTTTTTTTTAATGTATTCGCTTTTTAATACTAAAATATTCATTTTTTTTACATGTTCATTTTTTATTATTAAATGTTTGTGTTGATAGTTATATTTTTATTTTTTTACTAAATGTTCATTTTTAGGCGGTGGTCCAACAATTCTATAATTATATGATAATCATGATCATTTTTAATATACTAAATGATAATTTATTTTAACATGTTCACTTTTTAATACTAAATGTTTATTATTTTTACATATTCATTTTTTTTATTACTGAATGTTCATATAAATATATATATATATATATATGTTCATATTTTTCTACTAAATGTTCAATTTTTTTTTATATATGTTCATATTTTTCTATTAAATGTTCATTTTATAGAGAGTGGTGCAACTATCTTAGCTACACAAGAATGCAGTTAAGACTTATTGGTGACCATACTAGAGTATTTCATTGAAAAGAAATGAAAAGATAATGAAAAAAAAATTACCAAAATGTAAGTAGTATATCTTTGTCCATTACAGAAATTGCTAGAGATTTCCACACCATAACTAATTTCAAAAATCTTGCATGGACCTGGTCCACAATATTATTGTTGTGACCACGAAGTTTATACGCAAGCAATTGACATTATATGGAACATAGTGACCTTATTTTTAACATAATAACCTTATTTTTAACATAATTATCTTTGTTAAAACTTGTGTGACATTTAATATTATTGTGAACTCGAAATACGATGTTATATTAAACATAGTGACCCTAATTTTAACATAGTAACCTTTATTATTTATATTGACCAGTATATAAAAATTTCATAAAAAAATAAAATAAAATAACCTCTTATAATCTTTATAATATAAGAATGATTTTTATTTCAACATAGTAACTTTTATTACTCCCTCCGTTTCATATTAATTGCAACATTAGGGTGTTCACAAAGTTTAAGAAGATTTTTAGGGTGAGGTCCAAATGAGGATTTTTGATAATATAAAGTATTGTTAGTAAAGAGATAAAAATAATAAAAAAAATTAAAAAAAAAAATAGTGTAAGTGGGGTTGGTAGGAAAGATATATAATAAAATATTTGTGAAAGTGGAGTTAGTAGGAGAGAGAAATTATAAAATAATGGTGGGTTCTTTTTAAATATAGAAGTGTTGCAATTAATATGAAACGAATGTATAAGAAAAGTGTTGCGATTAATACGAAACGGATAGAGCATTATATAGTGACTTTTTTTTTATTAATTAAACAATTGTAGTGTCTTTAATATTAATGATCCACGATAAATTAGCGTGGATCAAATACATTTAAGAGTTTATTTAGCTATAATGTTATTATGTTAATATCAACCGACAAATATAAATGGAACAAATAATCCAAGATAGATACACAAAATCCGGAATAAAAAGGCATGGGGTCAACCGAAAATGATCAATAAAGCATCACCAAAAAAAGGAAATAAAAATTAGAAAAATAAGTGATGAATCATTGCATGATTCACTCACCAAGTCACCATAGCTGAGCTCAATAAAAAAAAAAAAAAAAAAAAAAAAAAAAAAAAAAAAAAAAAATCACCATTGTTAACCTTAACCACATATGTAATTGTGTATTGATTCTTCGATTACATTATTGTAGATATTCATTCTCTTCTCGACTTTTTTTTTATCATCCCTCTTTACTCATTTATTTGGTAATGCTTTTAAGAGCTCAACATCAAAGAGGCGCATTCACCCTTTTCCTGACGTCATAAATGCATTATGAGATTTCATCGTAAAATAAATTGGCGTTCGTATTAGTCATTTCGACTTTATTTCTTCAATGTTGGAAAACTTGCCTCAACTTATACGTGGATTCTTTTCTTAATTAATATACTACGTATATTCTCCCTTACATATAACTCATATTTATTTATACTAATATATTAAAGGAAATTTTGGAATTTAACACCACAAAATAGACTGAAAATGGTTTTTAACACCCCAAAAAAAAATTCATTTTAACAGCACAAAAAATGTGAAAAATTGGCTTTTACCACCACTTAACTGATTCCGTCCAAAAATCCATTAAGAGGCTGTTTAGTTCACCTGATTTTAGCTGATCTGATCTGATCTGATCTGAACTTATTTTTTCTGATCTGATCTGATCTGAACTTATTTTTTCTGATCTGATCTGATCTGAACTTATTTTTTTCTGATTTGACCTTATTTTAATTATTTCAATATTCTACTTTTAATGTTAATTAATATTATTGTTTAATTATTATTATTGTTATTATTATTATTATTGTTATTATTATTATTGTTATTGTTATTATTATTATTATATTATTATTATTATTATTATATGATATTATATTATTATTATTATATGATATTATATTATTATTATTATTATTATTATTATATTGTATTGTATTATATTATTATTATATTATATTATATTATATTATTATTACTATTATATTATTGCTTGCAGACTAAGGTTAAGGCTAAAAATGCGTAAATTATAAGCAACAGTCATGAAATTTACGACTCTTCAGTCTTCACTGTTTAAGCTTATTCAGGCAAAGAGTTCTATCACCACTCTGACCACCTTATTTTCTCACGTTGTCAACCCATAGAGAGAGTGATAATGGGTCAATTTTGGTCTCTTTTCCAAAAAATTTAAGATTTTTTGATGCATTAGTAACAAATAAATAAATAGATAAATAAACGATGGGATTGTATGTTATTCGAGTAAATCAAGTCCGAATATGACCACTTACACGCATATATGTTTTTAACTTCAAGTAAGGTAAGGAAAATGATTCATAATTAACCTTATTTTCGGCTATATAAGTTTAGCTTTTCAATTCATGTAGCAAATGCAGCATATAAATGATTTTTATTTTAATTAACCTTTTGGAATGATTTAATTATTTTTTTACTTTGTTTTTTGTTCTTTAATTTTTCACTTTTCCAGATTTTGACCTTGTTTTTTTTTTCCCATAACAACTGTCTATCTCTTTTTCTGTACTCACACTTTCTCTCTCCTCTCTGTTTTTTGTGCTTATTTTACACTCTTCACCATTGTTGCTATTCTTCACCATTTTTTTATTTTAAATTACTTTTTCTGTAATCTGAATTGGGTTTCTCGGTACTGTAATTTTACTGTCAGTCAATTCTAGAAATCTGAATTGGGTGACAAAAATATTAATTGGGAGTATTGGTAGTTTGGTACTACAGTTTTTTTTTGTGTATATATATATTTTTTCGTATTGCAATATCTCTTACCTACAACACATCAATCTCTCCCAAATTTTGTCCTTCTGTTGGTCATTGTAGTAGCTTGCTCGTATACAATCTCGTCGACAGGTAAATACGTTAACTCTTTGTTATTTTTTTTTATTATATTTTCATAATTTCATCTACAATCATGACTTCATCTGTTGGGCGTCTATAGTATACAGTTGAATAATTTCAGAATTTATTTTACATACATACGAAGTACACATTTGGGAGCTTATAATTGAATATAACTTGATGGAACTTACGTGTAGTTGATACAATACTTCAATACTTATAATTATAATTGAACTTATAATTTTACATACTACGTAGTTACGGAGTATTATTTCGTCTACAATCATCACTTCATCACACACCCACCACACACACCCACCACACGCACCCACCCTTCCACCAGCCCCCCCATCCCCACCACACGCACCCACTGCACACACCCACTGCACATACCCACCCTTCCACCAGCCCCCCCATCCCCACCACACGCACCCACTGCACACACCCACTGCACATACCCACCACACACACCCACCACACGCACCCACCACCCTCGAAAACACCCAAACCACCCAAACCGTTCGAAATTAACCACAAATCCCAGATCCCCACCACCACCACCCCCCACCTCGGCATTCCCAACCCTCCCAAACCACCACCGTCACCACCCCAACCGTCCAAAACCTACCACAAAAACCAACCAAAAATCGAATTTCAACAATTTAAAAAAAAAATTAAAATCACGAAATCTTACCTCAAAATCTGAAATAGGTTCGAACTTCACCTCAAACTTGGTTAATAAGGCCAAATTCGACCAAGAAACCTCTAGCTTTAGAGTTTTCTTGGTCGAAATTGACCTTAAAAACCTTTAAAAATAATAATAGATGCTTAGTTAATGGCGGCTTGGTTAGTGGTTGACGAGAGAGAAGAGAAAAGGAGGAGGAGGAGAACTCAATCGTAAATAGAGAGGAGAAGGAAAAAATAGCTTATAATGAAATTTTAATTATTATCGTTTATTGTTTGTGCTATTTAATAACATAGACAATGTTGCTAGTTCAAACAAACGATAAAATCAAATCCGATACATTATAAATCAATAATAATAATAATAATAATAATAATAATAATAATAATTTGATCTGAACTTATTTTTTCTGATCTGAACTTATTTTTTCTGATCTGATCTGATCTGAACTTATTTTTTCTGATCTGATCTAAACTTATTTTTCCTGATCTGAACTTATTTTTTCTGATCTGATCTGATCTGAACTTATTTTTTCTGATCTGATCTGATCTGAACTTATTTTTTCTGATCTGAACTTATTTTTTCTAAAATAAGTAAAAATAAGGTGAATTAAACAGGGCCTAAGTGGGATCATAAAGCTACATGTCGCTTTGTTATTGGCCAAAAAAAGAAAAAAATAAATAAATAAAACAAAAGTTTAAAAAAAATATAAAAAATCCAAAACTACCCAACCACCCCAGCCCCACCACTACCACCCTCTTCTCCGCCCCTGCCAAGCGCAGCCGCCGCCCTCGGCCCATCGTCGGCACATCCCCTCCCCCAGCCTAAACCCAACCCACCTAAACCCTCCCCCTCCCTTTCCCTAGTCCTAAACCGCCCCAAAATCACCAAACCGCAGCCGTCCTTCCCCAAAAATTCGATCGGTTAAGGCCACTTAGCCCCAAAATCGGCCGATTTCAGCCATCATTGGCCAAATTCGTGGCCATTTTTGGGGAAAGAGGATTGCGGTTTGGGCGTTTGGCGGTGTTATTGACGGTAGGGTTGTTCATAGGTCCAAGACTGCATCGGACCGAACCAACTCAAACCGGACCGAAGACCAAAAAATTGAATTTCAAGAACTGAAGACCGGACCGATTAAGCTAGGACCAAATCCGGACCGGACCGGTTTGGACCGATATTAGAATTTTTATAAAAAATTTCAATAATATTTTAACGTCTTTTTTGTATGTTTAGTACAAAAAAGCTTATACGACTAAAGTTTTCAAGCTTATTAAGGATAATCTTAATCATTATTAAAGGTTTTTTGGTATGATTTTAAGGAAAAAAACCGGTCCGATTCAAGACCGATTTTTTATAGGGTTTTGGATCGCACTGGACTAAAGACTAGAAAAACAAATTTCTCGACCTAGAGATCGGACCAATTAATTTAGTCCCGTCCGGGGTCAGTCCGGACTGGTCCGATCCATTTTTTCGGTCCAGAACAAATTTTGAACACCCCTAATTGGCGGTGTTAAGAGCAGTTTAGGGCTGGGGGAAAGGGAGGGGGAGGGTTCGGTTACGTCAGGTAAATGGAGGGGAAGTGGATGCACCGACGGCGCTTGGTGAGGGTGAAGAAGAAGGTGGCGGTGGTGGGGCTGGGGTGGCTAGGTAGTTTTAGGAATTTTTTTTAATTTTTTTTTTCTTTTTTTTCTCTTTCTTTTATTTAAACCGCTAAAATGGTGTCACGTGTCACTATGGACCCCACCTAACAGATTTTTTGGATAGAAACCGTTAAGTGGTGGTAAAATCCAATTTTGTAAGAATCTCCTGGTGTTAAAATAATTTTTTTTGGGGTGTTAAAAACCATTTTCAGCCTTTTTTGGTGTTAAAATACAAAATTTCCTATATTAAAAGGCGTTCTAACAAAGTCTATGTGTCACGTACTCACGTAGATCTTTTCATTACGCCACATCATCCACTCAATTTCTTATTACGCCATGTCACCCACTCAACGCCATGTGGCTCCCCCTTCCATGTTTATCATTGCATGTCACACATTTATATTAAAAAAAATTATCCACAAGATTTGAACGTGAAACCTCTAATTCTAGAGAGGAGTGTCTTACCACCAAGGTATGTGATATTTTTATGTTATCTTTTGATACAAAATATTAATATATATATATATATATATATATATATATATATAACAAATTTAATTACAAGGAAAAATGTAATGACCCAGGCATCGCCCGGGCCCAGATACTAGTTTAATCTTGCAATCTGTATAAGGTCACACAAACATAGTTAATAGACTAATTCTATCGAGCTACTTTGCTCCAAACATATTTTCAAATCTTTTCTATCTTGCATTGCCCAAATCACTTGACTACTTATATCTTAATTCAAAAATTATTACTTGTGTTGCAAAACTAGAAATACAACCCTAATTGAACTAGCCTCACCGCAAATTCTAAGTTACACACTAGTGCAGCTAAGCTAACTGCAAATATGAACATATAGTACATAAAAAAATGAACATACGATTTTTTTCTCTTCCTTATATCTTAACTCTCTCTCTTCTTCTTTCATAGCTCTATTAATCTTCTCTCTCTTCTGTTTTCTTCTCAATTCAAAATTTGTGATTCCAAATCTATCAAGTTATAGATCAATAATTATTGTTTTTATGATGAATCAAGATTAAATTTAAGGTGGATATTCAAATTTTTAGAGTTCAAATAATTTTTGTCAAACTTGTGTATAATTTCTGTATAAAAATGAATACAAAGTACTTTTAAATTGAATAATTTTGTACAAAATGAACATTTAGTACACTAAAAATGAACATTTAATAAATAAAAAATGAACATATTTTAACGATTCATTTTAGCTTTATTTTCGTGAATTATTATATACAATGAATTTGAACCTATATAAATATATGAAAATCATGTTCATTTTTAATATACTAAATGCTCATAATTTTTTTGACGTGTTCATTTTTTTTACGTGTTTTTTTTATACTAAATGTTCATTAATTTAATGTGTTCATATATTTTTATGAAATGTTCATTTTATTTTGTATGGTTCAGCTATTTTATGGTTGTATAATAAATGTTCATTTCTAATATAGTAAATGTTCATTTCTTTTCTTGACATGTTCACTTTTATTACTAAATGTTCATTTTTTATTACTGAATTTTTTTTATTTTTTTTTTACGTGTTCATTTTTTTTTTACCAAAAGTTCATTTTTAAGGTCATGGTGTAGCACATTTATGATTATATGATAATCATGTTCATTTTTAATAAATGATCATATTTTATAACATGTTCACTTTTTAGTATTAAATATTCAATTTTTTTTACGTGTTAATTTTTTATTATTAAATGTTTATTTTTTTTTACGTGTTAATTTTTTTCTTAACTTAATGTTCATTTTATAGAGCATGGTGTTAATTTGGACGGATATGTTGTCTGGATTATTTGATTTGGGCTGCGCGTTTGGAGCCTCCTCTTGTTGCAGCTAAAATAGCTGCATAAGTATGTAGCTAAGACCCATTGCTAGCCCCACCTTTGTGACATATGCCTTTTGAGATTCCAGGGCCCAAAGTGATGCTTCCTATAATCTCGATTATACGCTATAACTCAACTATTTAGAAGTTTGGTCTTAACTAAATTAAGTAAAATGTCCTTTCTTTATTATGGACTCTTTTCTCTGTCACAAAAAAAAAAAAAAAAAAAAAAAAAAAAAAAAAAAAGAAAAGAAAAGGGGGGGACTCTTTTGAATGTAAATGTTTCAGTGTAACCATATTATAAACTACAATTTGAGTACTTTTTTCTATATTAAAAAGCTTGAAAAACTTGTTGATTTTTAATTGTCAATATATAATAATACAATGACAACAATAAAATATTTTGGATTATTTTCACTTATATATATATATATATATATATATATATATGGCAATTAATAGATTTTATTAATAACCAAAGAGCAAACCCAAAAATGGAGCAGCAATACAGCCCAAACCCCAAAACTACAAAAACACAAACAAGCTGATTACATCAATAACTCAGCTCTTACAGACTCATTACACCTACAAGCCACATGAAAAGCAATGTCCTTAACAATTCTATATGCACAGGCTTAATATCTTTCCCAAAAACACTAGCATTCCTATACAACCAAACATGATAAACGGTCTCAGTAAAGCACTGAACATAAAGTCTATCCATCTTACCCAAAGTTTATCCTTTTTGAACATAACAGCCCATAAGAGCTTGGTAATTGCAGCCTTGTTCCAAATAGCAAGATTTTTACCACCAGCAGATTTCAGAAAACAAAGTCTTTCCCAACCGAACAGAGCCTTCTTGGAACTAGCAGTGTCTCCAGTCCAGAGAAACAACCTGCAATACGACTCAACTTCTTTGATTACCTTTTTTGGTAAGATGAAAATCTGACTCTAGAACGTTTGCATGCCAAACAAAATAGACTTCACCAGTTGAAGCCTACCAACGTATGAAAGAAATTTATTAGACCAGCCTTAGCTCTGTTCAAGATTTTCTCCACCAGGGGCTTGCATTGAGAATAAGACAACTTTTTCGAGGCAAATTAATTCAACTGAAGTTTTTAGAAATGCTTTTTAATATATATAATAAATATAGTTTATTATACATGTATTCGCGTTGCATTTGATTTATTAAACATATATTGCTGCACATTAATTAGCATGCACGCTAACTGATCATAACTTTAACCATACTAGGACGGGTAACGCACACGATGCGCGCGTTATAACTAGCCATATTCGAAAGTTCTTTCGATTTGGAGTTCGTTAGTAGCGTTAATTAGAAAAAATATATAAACAAATATTTTTAGGGGTATATATGTCTATACACTATTCTTAAGAGTTAGAAGAAAAAAAAAATCAATTAACATTAATGAGGGCAAATATATAAACAAACATTTTAGGGACATAATCGTCTCAACACTATTCATAAAGTGCGGTGATACTTTTAAAAGAGGTAAATAGGTAAATAAACATTTTTAGGGGTATAATAGTCAACACTATTTATAAGAATTTACTCATACTTTTAAAAAGGTAGGGAAATATATTTTTACTTATCGGTTAATAACATATATTGTAAAATGCTAATAATGCGAAGACATTACAATCAATCAAATGCATATATACTATGCCTAATTTATCATACATTTCTAAATTAATTTTCACATTAAGAAATATACTAAAACCCTAAAGGCTACATATATCATTACTCTATTTATAATTTTTCTCACTATATTTTTTTTGTAAATTTTGAAATTTTTCAATTAAAAATAATTATGTTTTGTATCAAAAGATTTTGTAATGGATTTTTCCATTTGATTTTAAAATATATAAATTCTAGTTTGCCTTCCATCTTTTAATGCAACACATTGACATTAATTCTAGTTTACCTTCCATCTTTTAATGCAACACAATTTTTAATGCAACAATTAATCATAACTAATCAAATGCGTGTTATTGTTTTTTAAAAAAAAAAGTTGATATTGAAAAACTACACATTGAATCAAATCAAATAAGTTCTTTGCGGATGATTCATTGTTGTTCTTACAGGTTTCTCGTGAGGTTTGTGACAATCGTACAACTCTTTTGTTCGAGTTTTGCAGGGTGTCGAATCAGGTGATTAATTTACAAATATCACTCGTCAAGTTTAGTCCGAACACCCCTTCAGACTATCGGGAATATTTTTCTCATTCTTTAAATCTTCATAGTAAATCTTCTCTCGACTCTTATCTGGGGGTACCAATTGAGTTAAGTCGAAGTAAGGTCTCATATTTCGGTTTTCTTATTGACAAGGTGGTTAAGAGGTTGTCCGATTTTGCCTCCGTAGGGTTATCATCCGCAGCGAAACTGGTTATTATTAACTCAGTTTTGGTAGCTTCTTTCAATCATATTTTGTCCATTTTCAAAGTGTAGGGTTTCGTAGTGACCCACACTACGCGGAATGAAACCCGCCAAGACCCGCCCCCATAATAAATGCAATTAACAAGCAAAACATAATTAAAATCATAATAAAGGATAAAAGATTATACCTTTGACGCGTGCTTCGCTCAACTATGAGCTCTTACTTGAACCCCGAAAATAGAAGGCCTCCGACGGGATCGTACCCTCGAACCCGACTTGAGCGTCCTAAGCCTCGAAGGTTAGTCGAGGCCCGGAAAAATAAAAAACTAAGAGTTTTACGAATTTAAGGTTTACTCAAATCAAGAGTTGCCTTTTTAATTCCACTCAAGTGTGTTCTTTCCCAATACCCATGCCTTTGGTATTTATAGGGAAATGGACCCTTGATTTCTATCTCCCACCAATGTGGGAGAGTTGATAAATTCAACAATTTATTTAATTCCAAATTAAATAAACAATTAAATCAATCACAACACGACAAGTGGCACAATTACATACTAATGAGTGATGCCCAAGGTTAGGAGGGGGGACCATAGCCTTGCTCCCCAAGGCTTTGCTTGGTCCCCACAAGCACACACAAACCGGCTTCAAGGAGGGTTGTGCTGGCTGCCAGCTAGCACCAGCCAGCAGCCTTGCATCCCCAGCCAGGCAGTGCGTGCTGGTGCTGGGCGATGCTTGGCGCTGGTGCGTGCTAGTGCTAAGCGCTGCTAGCACGCTATGCTGGCGCTGGCCCTAGCACTCCCACGCATTGCCTCGCACATACTCGCATGCTACGCACAGCCATGCCAGCCAGCCCCTCACGCACGCAAGGCCTAGCATGCGTGCTGCTAGCGAGCCACGCATGCTGGGCTTGGTGCTGGGCGATGGTGCACACGCACACGCACACACGCATGTGCCTAGCACTGCGATGGTGTTGTGCGTGGTGCTAGGGCTGCGATGGCGCCTAGGCATGATGCTAGGGCTGCGATGGCGCCTAAGCACCCTTGGCACGCATGGTGCGCCTAGTACACCATGGTGCACCTAGGTTCATGTTAAGCCAGCCTAGTCTAGCAGTCCACATGGCTAGGCCAGTGCGACGCTACGACTACGTTCATACTTGTCGCTTGTGATTTTGCGACGCTCGATCTCGACGCCCTAGGCTTGATATCCGACGTCTGTATTCGTAAAACTCCATCGACTCATTAAATCCTTCGGATTAATTCGTCGTCTCGGATCAGTTTTTCGATTGGGTTCGACCCGAAGGGTTCGGTTAATATTAAGCTGTAATATTAATTATACCTTAATATTACTGATCGGAAGCGGCCTCCACCTAGGCATTCCGATCACTTGACCTTACTGAAGAATTAGCTCTGTAATAATTCTAAACCCTCTATCGGAATAATACACTTGTTGGAAGGACACCATTCCTTTCACAAAGTGCCTCCTTCGATCTGTTCTTGAATCGATACTCTTCTGGCTAGTTTTGGTGGAAGTCAGATGCACGGTCTAAGGGGTTGGCTTTACGTTCCAAGTCTCTTCTCCATCTTCCTAAGGGTTTGGGGTGGGGGGTTGGGTATACGTTGTATTGAGAGTTTCAATTCGACACTCCTTGCTCGCCAATGTTTGCGTATCCATCATCATCCTCAGGCCTCAGCTTCTAGTCTCTCGTTTGTTTTCTGCCAAGTATCCCTCATTTGTTCCTTTTAGACTCAACACATTGCGCACTCATCTTCGGGCTGTCGAAGTCTTTTATTCGACTCGACTACTTTGGCTCAGGGTATTGCTTGGAAGGTGGGCTCAGGGTCTCAGGTTCGGATTCTCGAAGACAACTGGGTCCCAGGAGAGCCAGTTGTTTTTCATGAAGGTTCTAGTGTGTCGGATTTGCCGACACATATTTCTTCTATCATTAATCCGCGTCCTTACGCATGGGATTCCACTATGGTTCATCGGCTTTTCGATTCTTCTTCGGCTTCTCGTAATCTAGCTTTGGACTATCCCAGTCGGCCAATGGATGATTTCGTTTATTGGAAGTTCTCGCGGGAAGGTTCCTTTTCCACTAAGTAGGCTTATGCCATGTTGTTGGATCGCTCGGGAAGTTCTAGTGTTTCGCCGACTCCCCCGGCTTCTTGGTGGAAGCGGTTCTGGGGATTACCTATTCTAACAAAATTACAGTGTTTCTATTGGAAACTTCTTCACAATGCTTTACCTCTCTCAGGAATTTTGCAGCTCCGGGGTTTCCCAGTGGATCCAACTTGTGTGTTCTTCTCTCAAGAGGAAGAATCTTCGATTCATCTTTTCTGAGATTGTTCTTTTACTTCTTGGCTTTGGGATTCTGTTCTGCTTCCGTTCCCTCTTGATTTATCACATGACAAACCTTTTGTCTCCTGGTTTGTTGATATTGTCTCCGCGTTTTGCTCGACCAAGAATTGGGACGGTTTAGTGGCCAGTGGCGGAGCTAGGGTGGGTTCAAGTGGGTTAATTGAACCCACTAATTTTTTGAAAAAAATTAAAAACTTTTTTTAAAAAAAAAAAAAAATCAAAATAGGTTTAAATAGAATATTTGTGTATTATATGACAACAAGTAAAGTTGTAGCCCAGTGGTTATTTTTACCTCCCATCACACAAGAGTTTGTGGGTTCAAAACCCATAACTCACACTTTTTTTTTTAATTTTGTTTCCTGAGCTTTCCCTGCTTCCAGCTTTCCTCTTCCTCATTCCCCCAAATTGCAAAACCCTAACTTCTTCCTCCTTCTCTTAATCTCTTCCCGTTCTTCCTCCTTCTCTTCCCGGCGCAACACGACAGCAGTCAGCAGAACGCCCGAACACGGTGGCAGCGGCAGCGCACCAGCCACTCACCCAGCAGGCCAGCAGACCCACCGTCGTCCGTCACAGCACTGACAGCCTCACAGCCGTGTATCGGTGTATGTAGGTAAGTGAATTTGGGGATTTTTTTTTTGCAAATGTAATTTACTTCTCAATTTGGGGATTTTTTTTTTGCTAAATCATTGAATACTTGAAATTCATATGCTAAATTGCTAATATACATTACGAATTGCAAATTTTTTGTAAATTGCTGAAGTTTGGTTATAATTATCTAATTTACTTCTCAAGTTCTCAATTTGGGGATTTTTTTTTGTTACATTGTTGAATTTCATATGCTATTTTCTGTATTTCGTTTTCTGCCTTCTAGTTTTCATAATTTCATATGCTATTTCGTTTTCTGCCGTCTAGATTTCGTTTACTAATTGAGTAATTGACTGTAATATTTAATTACGATAGTTTTAATTAGCTTTCTAGATTTATCATTCATTCATTGATCTCATTCTGCATTTATCATGTGTGTGTAGCAGACTAGCAGTATATACCTATTATACCATGAGTTTAGAGTCATTTTGGAAACGTGCCGGGAAGTCACAAAAGTCTTCAACTTGTTCTTCACCTAGTTCAAGGGATCCTCCAATAGAAGAACATGTGTCTCCTAATGATGATGAGGTTCCTATTGCTGTAACAATTCCACCACCTGAGAACACAGGTCCAAGTGTTCCAAATACTACTGTTGACTCCGATGATACTCGCATTTATGATGTTGATCTTCTTCCACATGACCCTGGAAAAAGAATTCCAATTATGGAGTATCCTCCTAATGATCGAGATGCCGTAAGGAGAGGCTATATTACAAAGAAACGTTGTGATCCACGCACACATAATTTTCCTCAAAGAAAAGTTGGAGGTATGCGCCGTTTTAATGTTACTTGGTTTGATAAATATGAGTGGCTTGAATATAGTGTTGAGAAAGATGCGGCTTTTTGTTTTGTGTGCTATTTGTTCACTGATAAAGTTGATTATTCTTTGGCTGTTAATGATTCCTTTATTAAAGGGGGATTTTGAGGATGGAATAAGACTGGTAGATTTGATGTTCATGTGGGTGGTATTGGTAGTTTCCATAATCAGGCTAATGAGAAATATAGTATGTTTATCAACCCAAAGACATCTGTTGCTGAATCTCTTTGCACTTATTCTAAGGAAGCTAAACTACAATACAAATCTCGCTTGACTTATTCATTGAAATGTATTAGATTTCTTTTAAATCAAGGTTTAGCTTGTCGTGGGCATAATGAAAGTGAAGAATCTTGGAATAGGGGTAATTTTCTTGCACTCTTAACATGGTTTTCAGAAAATAATAGTGAGGTAGCAAAGGTTGTTCTAGGTAATGCCCCGGGAAATAATCGAATGACTAGTCCTTCAATTCAAAAAGAACTTATTAATTGTTGTGCCAAAGAAACCACTAGACTTCTTATTGATGATATTGGGGATGACTATTTTGGAATAATGGCTGATGAATCAAGTGATGTATCTCAAAAGGAACAAATGGCCCTTTGCTTGCGTTATGTCAATAATAAAGGGAAGATAAATGAGAGGTTTCTTGGAATTGTACATGTTAAGGATACTACTGCTTTGTCACTAAAGAGTGCAATTGAGTCTTTGCTTATGGAATATTCATTGAGTTTGTCTAGAGTTCGTGGACAAGGTTATGACGGTGCTAGTAATATGAGGGGGGAGATAAATGGTCTCAAGACTTTGATCATGAATGAAACAAAACAAGCCTATTATATTCATTGTTTTGCTCACCAACTTCAATTAACCCTTGTTGCTGTTGCTAAGGATAATGATGATTGTATTTGGTTGTTTGATCAACTTGCTATTTTGTTTAATATTATTGGTGTTTCTTGTAAGCGAAGGGAAATGAAAAGAGAAATACAATCTCAACATATTCTACAAGCATTAGAACTAGGAGAAATTGAAAGTGGGCAAGGTTTAAACCAAGAACATGGCTTAGGTAGGCCTGGTGATACTAGGTGGGGATCACATTACAAAACTGTTTCAAATGTTACCGCATTGTATGCTACTATTGTTAAAGTTCTTGAGAAGATTGGATCAAATAAGATTTATAAGGATGATCGCGTGAAGGCTATCACTGTCATGTCTACATTTGAATCATTTGAATTTGTATTTATGATACATTTGATGTCCGAAATATTTGGGATTACTGATAAATTGTGTCAAGCTCTGCAAAAGGGGGACCAAGATATTGTTAATGCCATGACATATGTTAAATTGACTAAGGAGGGATTACAACAAATGAGGGACCATGGGTGGGAAGACTTTTTACATCTTGTGGTTTGTTTTTGTGTTAAACATGATGTAGAAGTTCCTACTATGGATGATATGTATGTTCCTCGTGGAAGGTCAAGACGCTTCTTTGCCAAAGTTTCAAATCTTCATCGATTTCGGGTAGAAATGTTTATAAGTGTCATTGATTTACAACTCCAAGAGCTCAATAGTAGATTTGATGAAGAAAATATGGAGTTACTTATTTGTGTGTCATGCTTAAACCCGATCAATTCATTTGCGGCATTTGATATGCAAAAGTTGTTGAGACTTGCTGAGTTATATCCCAAAGAGTTTCCAACTAATGATATGACGATGACTGCACTTCGTCATGAGCTTCAATTTTATATTAATGATGTGCGCCAAGATGCAAGGTTTGGAGACTTGAAGGGTATTCATGAGCTTTCTATGATGCTTGTTGAAACAAATAAGCATACTACTTACAACTTAGTTTACTTGCTTATAAGACTAGCATTGATCCTTCCGGTTGCAACTGCAAGCGTGGAACGAGTGTTTTCCTCAATGACATACGTAAAAAATAAGTTGCGAAATAGTATGGATGATCAACTATTGAATGATAATTTAGTCACTTTTCTTGAAAGAGATTTATTTTCAAGAGTTAGTGATGATGATGTATTGGAACGCTTCCAAAGTATGAAGACTCGAAAAATGCTTCTGTAGTTTTTTTTTTTTTTCATTTTTCTATGTGTAATCTATTTGTAATCCATAGTTTGAACTTATTTATGTACTGAATATTTAATTATTGTATTTTTATTCCTTTGTTAATTATGATTTCAAATTTCGGAAGTTTCGAACCCACAGTTCGAAAATCCTGGTGACGCCACTGTTAGTGGCTTTTATTTGTTTTTGTTGGGCGGTCTGGCTAGCAAGGAACAATAAGATCTTCTGGCAAGCTATGTTGTCTCCTACTACTATTTTCCATGTAATGCAGGATTGGACTACTAGGAGCGCTTCTGCTCGATGTTTTACTTCTCAGGAAGCTTTTCATGTCCCTCCTAGGCAAGTCTTCAAATCTGCACGTTACAAGGAGATGGTTCCTCGCCTTTTGATGTTTGTCTTCTTTTTGATGGGGCTTGGAGTTCTCAGGATCTCAGTGTGGGGGCAGGTTTTAGGGATGTTAATTCCGCCTCTGTTTTGGGAGGATGTTTTAAAGCTTGTCACTCTTCCTCCGCTCTTCAGTTTGAATTACAGGCTTGTTTGTGGGCTCTTCGCGCTACCGATCATAGGGGTTTTCATCATCTTCTACTCTATACTGATTGTGCGTGTCTTTTCTCCTTTCTCCAGGATAGAAGAGATGGGGACATTGTCAGTTACTGGTTAACCCAGAATATTCGGGCAGTGATATCACGATTTTCTGTTTGTGTGCTTCGTCAAGTGCCTCGTAGGTGGATTTTCCCGGCTCACTGGATAGCGGTTCAGGCTCGGTAGAGACGCCTACTTTTTTGGTCTTTTTAGTCTTTAAGGTTGGTTTGTTTCCTTTTGTTAAAAAAAAATAAAAAAAATAAAAAGTGTTCCCACATCATGTTTTTACTTAAAACTATATCAAAAAACTTAGATTCCATCATAAAAAATTAAAAAAAAATAACAAATAGGTCTATTAATTGAATGACGACAAACTCAAGAATTGAAATGTTGTTTTGACCCGCTTGGACCTCCATTACTTTGGCTGGTTATTATCCTTGTGATAAACCCTCCACTAAGGTTGCATCATACATATGCTATAATTATGAATAGCAAAACATGTGCCTTATTCCATTATTTATACATTCTCTATTGATTTATAAATACAACATTTAGACTTTTACGTTAACGAATGGACATTTGTGACCATTAATATCTCTAATTATTGTTTTACAGAATTTATAAAATTTAATATTTTAAAAGTATTATCAAGACGTTATGAGACCTCATATAATTATATTTTTCCTTAATAATCACAGAAGGTGGTAAAAGAATTTTATGTGAAAAGTGTAAAGATTAAAATATTACGCTTATATCACCTCTGTTTCTTTTATTTAAAAAATAAAAAATACAAAAAAAAAAAAAAAAAAAAAAGGAAATACACTATTATCCCCTAATAACACCCATGTGCAATCCATGTATTTTTAACTTTCAAGTGAACCAACTCTTTTAAAAAGCAAACTATAAGGTATTCAGCTTGAGGCAAACTTAATGAGATTTAAAAATACTTGATAAAAATTAGGTTTTGCTTGGGCTCATCCTTGATCTCTATTTCTATTGTCTTTTTACAAATCAATCCAAATGCTTTCAATTGTATGATTTATCTTACCTTGGGCAATTCTTCGTTGTCCCCTCATTCATGCATAATGGTTCTATTCTTTGTGTCACACCAGATACTTCCTCCGTCTTCATTTGTTTGTCTTACTTGAACGAAATTACTTTTTAATTTTTGATTTAGAAAGGTTGATGAAAGAAAATTGGTAAGACCAAAGAGAGAGAGAGAGAGAGAAAAAAAAAAAAAAAAAGGTAAAGAGTTAAGACTTCCCTTGAATTTGCAACTTCCATGAAGTTTCCTAGAAAGCGAGCAAATTCTTTGATTGGCCATAAGAAAGTGTAATTCCCATACCAAGTTCTACCTAATTATGGATGTTATGTGGTCAATTTCACCAGTATTGTGGGAAGTGAAACTTCCTCACTCCTTATGTTAATGTCAACCAAACAATTTATCCGTTATGACTTATGAGCAATGCCAAACAAGGTCTAGTTGGGATTCCAATTAAATCAGAAGTACCCAATTTTTTTCCCCTCAACTATCATCAGTAACTTTAATAAAGGACAATAATGGTTGCAGAGAGTGGACCTGTTTGGTAAACTGGTGATCATGTAAGACTAAGAAAGGCTACAGTTTTTAGGCAGGGGTCATGGACCACAATTTTGGAGGAAATAATAACGGATATAGCCATAATAAAGGAAAGAAAATGACTTCAGAGGAAGAGAAAGGATGCTGAAGATGAGGTGGAGCAGCAAGAAAAGTAAGGGGAAACCAGAGAGGAGCTCGCCAGCAGAAGGCCGGGCAGTGGTGGTTGTTGCGATGATGATGGTGAAGAGGTGGTTCGATGAGTGATTTACGACGACAACAAAGCCAAACTATATTTATGGACTTATTTCCTATTTCACGCTTAAATAACCATGGGTAAATGCCTTTTAACTTGGAAGATAATTCCAAATTAACACTACCCTACAAGACTTAAAGGCTTTCAATCGAGGGAATCAGGCTCCCCTCAAAAGTATAAGCAGAGGATCCAAACAAGAGCCATAATTGAATAATTTCGGTTGTAGCATCATTTGATGTTGACTCTAAATTACCTTGTTATTATTAGTAATATGAAGGACAATCATATTCTTATAATAGTTCCATATTAAGTTAAAGTTCTGTTATGAATTGGGTCTCTACAGTCATGATGTATCATTTTGGATGATACTCTCATACATAACGACAACAGTTATTAAACAAACGGACAGGATAGATCGTGGTAACATTGCTAGTAAAGTGACCTGAATGTACCTCTTATGCCCCTGGTCATTCTTTTCCCCTTCTAACTTACCGCCTTTTAATTTTTAACCCTCTTTACTGCAGCCTCAACCAAACCTAGCCTGAATGGGATATTACTCGCGATGAACCTATTGGGGGGGGGGGGGGGGGAGGATGTGAAATTCTAAAATCAAACTGGGAAGAGATAAATCACAAGCAGTAAATGTGAAACTCCAGGCTGTCCACAATTATGACTTGATTTCTTCATTAAACAAGCCATTAATCTTTCATACATAAACAGCTATGATGAAATTTATGCAGTAACAATAAAAACAGATTCAATCACGCCAAATTTACAAATTACACGGACACAAACGAAACAACGGCTATGCATATATATTATCCACTCAACAACAGCCCTGGAATCTTGTCACCTCTCCTACTCTGAAACAGACCTGTTCCTGCTAAAAGAAAAACCCTCACTTCATTTACAGCTATAGATATAGAAACCATGTACAGACATCCCATACGCAAAGAATGTTAGAAACTGCTATTAAGCAAGTAAATGAATAGATTTCAAACAGCGTAGGCATATCCACAAGAAATGTTAGCGTAGCAATTTGTACAGGCATCTCAGAATTTAGAAAGCAATTCAATAATTCATAGTCATCAGCTGGAAAATAATATTTCACCATATGAACATCATAGACGAAGCAAAGCTCAGTACAGAATACTTAAGAACAGCATGATGAAGCTCTGGCTGCATCTCCCTGCCGGTCAACAAGAACCATTCCAGCTGGATTCTGTGGCATTTGGGCCCTTGGTAATCTTTTGGCTGTTATAGAAGGATGAAAATTAGATCAGAAAAAAATTAACATCACTTCGAGACAGCTATAAACAACTTCAACACAACCAATACTTATAAAAGCACACTCACAAATATGAAAATAACAACATTAGGTAGTAAAAGTTGCTATCTGAACTTGGCTAGTTGTATCAAAATATTGACCTAAAAAGCTCCAAGGCAGCAAAATATAACTTCATGAGAGCCATAACTAGTAAAGACACTGTCACAACTATGTATCACAGAAACGAATTGGGTTTTGGAAATGAAAATATCTTGGAAACAAGAAAACCTCAACCCCCAACCATTCCAGGGCTTCATTAACAAGGAAACGATGGGGTATAGGAATAAGGAAACCTCAGGTCCCAGAAGTTTTAGTGCTTCTTAGGCCAAATATATGAGAATAGCAACATTCTATGACAAGTGTTACTTTCTAAACTTTACTACTGGTGTACAAATAGTAAAAGTAACAAAATCCACAATTGGCAACATAAAAAATGTTGGAGTACACTAGATAGCACGAGTATGCTAAATAAATCCTTGCAAAACATAAATTTCCAGGATATGACTTGGAGGTGAAAAAGAAGGTTAAAATCTAAATATGCTATAGCTTCTACAGAAGTAAGTCAAGGCAGATGCAGGAGGTAAACAGTTCTGAAAAAAGACTTAAGGGCTAGACAAAGGCAGGTCCAGGTAGTTTAAGATGTTCAGCCAGAAAACTAGTTCCTACAGTGGGATGCACAAACATTTGGTAATAAATTACCACTTTCCTCACAATTACTTAATAAGGTTGTCCCCACAATTCCAGTTAGTTTGCGCTGTGAAGTGATCTTTTTCACCTTCATCGACATAGACTTCCTCACAATAAAAATTGAAAATTGCAATATGCAAAGACAAAGTATCATATCAGATGCAACAGAGCAGTTGCCCTGTGAAGTACGCGCCTTTCATTGCCAGGCTGCCAGCAATAAGCTATTCCTTACAGAAAACTATTTCTTCATGCACACTGATTTCCAACAAATCATTTTATAAAATTCAAAAAGAACCAATTATCAAGCTGCTGTTGCTGGCTTTTTCCAAACAATTAACCAACAATTACTATCCACCTATTAATTCAACTTTAACAAATTGGCTTGTACATGTCAAAATCACAACCACATAAAATAGATTTAGAAATACAAAATATCTGGTGCACACCTATTTCATAGAATATCTCATTAACATTCTGAGCTGTTTTTGCTGATGTTTCCATAAAGAAGAGACCATTTTCTTCAGCATATGTACGTGCCTCCTGCAAAAATCACCAAACATACTTGTATTTATTAAACACAATTTTCATAATATTAAACTATTCAATGTAGATTTATATTGCTCAAACCCTACTAAAATGTCTGATACGAACACATATACCTTGAAACCTACAAGTATCATAATCTAGAAAGACTTTATATTAGACCTGGCAAATGGGTCATTCGGGTCGGGTCGGGTCACTTTCGGGTCGGGTCGGGTCTGGGTCGGTTAACATTCGGTCGGGTCGATTCGGGTTTCGGGTCAAATTCGGGTCGGGTCAAGTATGTTCGGGTCATATTCGGGTCAGGTCAAAATCTGGTCGGGTCATGTTCGGGTTGTTTTATTTGTGATTCAAGCTCAAATGAATAATTTTATACGGATTATATATTTTGTTATTGTTATAATAAAAACTATCAATTCAGTTTATGAGCTTAGCTATGGTTGAAGATGAACAATTTGAGTTACTTTTGGTACAAGACATTTTAAGTTCAACTATAAGGTAATTTTAGTTCGGGACATGTCGGGTATTGGGTCTGTTTGGGTCAATTTTGGGTATCGGGTCTGTTTGGGTCAAACACTTCGGGTCAATTTCGGGTCGGGTCAACTTCAGGTCGGGTCAGTTCGGGTGTCGGGTCAGGTTCGGGTCAACTCCATTTTCGGGTCGGGTATGGGTCGGGTCGGGTCACTTTCGGGTCATTTGGGTCGGGTCATCGGGTCTGGGTCAGGATTGCCAGGTCTACTTTATATAAGTCCAACACGTTTGAAAAGTTTAAGTAAGCCAGATAGCTTAAGTTAGGATAATTTTCTACATGTAACCTTTTATTTGGATTCCAAAAAAAAAAATAAAAAAAAAAATTCCAACCCAAGAGAGAGAGAGAGCAGGAAGACTAATCTTTAATACAGACCAAATAGGTCACATAATATGCAATCATAATATGTTAAGAAAGTTGAAGAGCAACATGAGACTGAGAAGTGTGGCTTCATTGTTGTCTAGTGGATGCATACTACATAGGCAGCAACATCAAATAAGTCAAGGACACATGTAAATCCAACTCAATAGTACAACAGGAAAGTACGAAAAAGAATAGAACAGGAGGGAAAGACATAAGACTATAGTTATATAATCAGCAAGAGCCCTTGACTATTCAAGAGAGATGCAAGAACTTAATCAAAGTCAATTTTCACAGTTTCCTGAACATACCATAGAGCTAATCACCAATCAGATTATAGCAAGCACACTAAATGCTAAATCCTTCAATTACCTAAGAAAGCCTATCAACGACAATAGATTCCAGACAACAGAATAATTATGGTACATATTTTCTGTAGCATAGCTGCACATCCCTTCAATTAAATTTACGGGGAGAACTCAAGAAGTCGTAATGTATCCATTATTTTTCATTTAGAAGGGGTATCTAGGCCAAATAATCAACTGCATATGTTTTACTAAGATCCATTTCTAGAATACAGCATCTCTAGGCATCTAGCACTTTTTAGTGGGACTTGATTTTATTCAAATGAAATTAATAAGGATATAACTACCACAATTCTTTGAAAAGTCTGATTTGTCAATAGCAAAAGGTAACGGTAACTCTGAGACACCATTAATTATTCTTCCATCACTCCCGACAGTCAACCATCATCCGATCAAACAAGCGAACACAGAAGCCAAGTAAGAAGCACAACAGCACAATGATATATCGCAATGAATAGACCACACCTAGCAGGCAGCAATATATGCAACTCCAAATCCTATATTATAAAGTTCGTGTACTCCTTCCATCCCAATATATTTGTCTATCGCTCTTCACATATATCGCGTGTTAACAATGAATGAAATATAGCCAATAGAATGTTCATGTAATGAGAACAGCGAAATCTGATTGACTGCATACGCATATACAGAAAATGAATATGCAAACATAAAATAGAGTAGAAAGGTAAACAAACACATTGAGGCTGAAAGGCTAGAGATAGTCAATTAAAAGGTCTTAATATTTTCAGCCTACAAGCCAAACCTGCAACACTCAATTCATTGCCTTCCAAGACCATGGAGAAAATTAGAATTGAACTCAATAGAAATAATGAATTGCTATTTGCCGCCAAAATATTAGTCATGCAGCCATACGTAATGACTGAAATGCCTGTGGTTTAATTTTAATTTACTTGAAAATTCCATTCCACTCTCTTCCCCCTCCCACTTTTACTTAGCCACCACTAACATCCAAATTCCTACCACCACCATCATCACAAACACCATCCACCCAAGCCACACCACTGACACCTATTATGGCCTTAATCCTGACACAATCCAACTCTCCAGTTGTTAATCCGGTGGTTACCAATGAGGCAACAGTTCCCGCACATCTCGGAGACGTTGGGCGCAGAAGATGAACTTTCACGGTCAGTGAAGTTTTTTTATTGCTGGAAAGTACATATAGGCACATGGTTCAGGCACATGGTTGGGCGCATAAACCATGAGCACGTTTCTTTTATTTTTTTATATTCTAATCAGTATTCTATGTACTTTTCGGTGGTGTGGCGACAGGCTGTTGGCTGCTAGTGGCATCGGCTAACTCAGATTACTGATGGCTATGGGCGGTGATTTACCAGTGGTCATTGGAGAGAGAAAGTGAAAGTAAAAGGGTTAGAAAGGGTGTTGGTAGAATTTTATAAGGGTAAAATGGTAATTTCTTGACGGCAAATAGTAACCCCTAGAAATAATATATTTTACAAAAGAGACCTCTGATTTAAACCAACCACAAAGGATCAGGTCTGATTTCTTCAACTGTAACAGAGATCAAGAGCATTACTGCCCAGTGAAATCACAAGGAGGGTGAGGGTCAACACACTTATAGAAGGTACAATAGGTAATAAAAAGTCACATAATCTAGTAAGCAGTGTCACACTTACTTCTGCTGAAACAACCCTCTTTTCTTCTAAATCAGCTTTGTTCCCTGCAAGTGCCATTACCATATTTGGATTCCCTGGGAAAATAAACAATCAGTATAGAGTATAGACCATAACAATTAGAAGTTCTTAATGTATAGCAAACACTCCAAGCATTCAGATATGCAGTGGATTTTATCAATTCTTGGTAAAAGTATACAAAACCAGAAACTAAATACTAAATGTGTGACCAGGCTGCACATACCTTGCTTCTGAAGTTCTTGTACCCATTTCTTAGCACGAGAAAAAGACTCCTGAAACAAATTTTACAAAAAAAAAAAAACTCAATAAATGCGACACCCAAGATGGAAAATTAAGAAAGATTAATAATAAATTACATAAATTGGGGGGAAAAAAATAATATTCAACGAAATCCACAACCTTCTCACAGAAGCACTTAGTGTAACTTCAAGTTATATTAATATGCCATACTTGGGAATTGAAAAAGAAATTAGCAAAAGAATAAGTCAATCAATATACATTTTACTACATAGAATACATATAAAAATCACCCCAATGGAGCTCACAGACAAAACAGACACATCCCCCTAACCAAAGAAGATATGAGAGCAATTTTCAGATGCTTTTAAGAACCCTCACACAATCTACGGTAACAATTTTGCATTAAGGAAAATCAGAACTCCTATCTTCCAGCAACCTCAATAAACATGAAAGAAGGGTTGACGCATCTCAATATGGTTGCTTTCATTATGACAAGAGCACAAGGCCAGCAAAACTCCACCTTCTCCAATCCACAACCCCCCCCCCAAAAAAAAAATATAAATAAATAAATAAACACAAATTTTTTAATAACAAAATTGATGTGTCAAAGGAAAGAAAAGGAAGGGAAGAGAAAAGAAAGGAAAAGAAGGGAAATGAAAGAAACTATATCATCCAATATTTGGTTTGATATTAGAAAAACGGAAAATAAAGGAATCTTTTGTTCGGTATGATATTAGTAAAGGAAGGAAAACTAATTTTAGTCTTGATATATTTATTTTCTTTCTTTCCTCCAAAACTGGAGTTTGGAAGGAAAGGAAAGGGAAGATTTTGTGAATGGAGCTTTCCTTCCATTTCCCTTCATTTCTTATCAAATTCCATTTAATTTTTTGAACCAAACAAAAGAATCCATATTTTTCCTTTCTTTTCCTCCCAATTCCTTCCAACCAAATAGAGCCTTCAGCATATACACAGAAGGCCCGGTGACTATAAAGACAGCACAATTTTCCAGCCAACTACATAGTCATGGAATTGAATTATGAAAATAAACACAATTTCTCAAAATTCTTTGAAGGTGACTACTATTTCACTTCACTGAAAGCAATAAAACACACATCGACTTTTCCATACTAACGACCCCGTCTAAACACTTTCATAACTTCATTGCCTATTTTTACACGGAGTATAAATCAACATAAGACAACCATACATTCAAAGTACATCCTTAACCCAAAAATCCAATGACACCCTTAGTGCATTGCATCAATAAAACAACACCATTTTATCATACATGCCCCAACATCTAAACAGTATCACAGACCAACTTCTTCTCCCATTCTACTATGCTAAAGCTCCGAAAAATATATATCCCATGCAACATGGACATCACACTCAAAACAGTCCAGACATTTCCTCTTTCACCACTATGGTCTAAATATTGCGGAAACTAACTAGTTTAGTTGGTTAACGTCTTAAATATAGTACCTACCACCCAAAACATACATTGGACCAAATCCCGTCTACATCACTAACTTATGCGACTCTTTGAAATCATCGAAAAAGCAATATAATCAATACAAGTACGAAGGGAGATAAATTAGGTACCTGGGTAGTAATGTCGTATACGATAATCGCGGCGGCAGCACCTCTGTAATACATAGGAGCCAAACTGTGGTACCTTTCTTGACCAGCAGTATCCCATATCTCAAACTTCACTGTGGCGTCATTTACTGCTAATGTCTGCGAGAAAAACGCTGCTCCGATCGTCGATTCCTGCACAACAAATTAATGCAATCAGTAATTAGGAATTATCAATTGAAATTTACCACTTCAAATTAAAATTTAACAGAATTTAACTAAAAAGAAAAACCCTTAAATTTACCTGGAATTCGAGGAATTGACCTTTAACAAACCGAAGTACAACGCTGGATTTTCCAGCTCCCATATCACCGAGAAGAACCTAAATTTCAGAACAAGATCAAAGCTTTAATCGATGTTTTAATAATAATAATCACTAAAAACGAAGAAAAACAACTTAATTCTAAAGATCGGAGCATCGAAAACCTAAAATTGCAAATTGCAAGAAAAGTAGAATTAAAATTAATTTTTTTTTTTTTTAAAAAAAAGCAGAAATTAAGGAAAAAAGTAATACCAATTTAGCATTGAGATTGTTGTGACCGGTAGTCGCCATAAGAGGAAATCGGGGAGATCAAAGAAAAAGGAGAAAGATGAATGATGAGATTCTGGAAAGAGGAGAGAGAAAATGGGGAATTAGGGCGAAAGGAAGAAGATGACTTTTGCTTGTTGTTGGGTTTGTTTGTTTGAGAGTCCGAAGTTTCTGCGTAGTAATTTTCAATATGGACACGTTTTAACTCTCACCCAAATTATGGTTATGGTGCTACGACTACTTTGATGAGTTGCTTGTAACAGTTTTTCTACCATACACGAATTTAATACGGAGTACAGCAAGTATTATGGAGTACGGAGTAGGTTTTTTTTTTTTTTTTTTTTTTTTTTTTGAAAGGCGGAGTAGTTTATTTATTATACTCGAGTTTTAAATGATTTTTATTTTAACTTGATTTGGGATAACTTTTATTATGTTCTTATCAGAAGAGAAAAAAAAAAAACTTTTATTATGTTCTGATTTTTATAATACTCCTCGTTTTAAATACGCTTGAGTTTTGGATGATTTTTAATCTGATTTTGGATAAATTTTAACTTGATTTGGGATAACTTTTATTATGTTGTGATTTTTATACTACTCCTCGTATTAGGTATAATATAATCTGTAATCGTTTAAAATATATCAAATATAACTTTAACTATATCGCTTATTTATATAATAGCATATTTTTTGTAGTTTTATTTGTAAATAGATATCTATGTTATTATTAACTTGAAATTTTTTTATAGCACTTAAATTATTAATAGATTTCATTTTAAAGAACTTTTCAAAACGAATTTTATGATGGAAATAGTACTGAGTTATAGGATATTTATTAAAAGTTATAATTAATTTTGTGTCTATGAAATATTAAAAGTATATTGATAATAAAACACTATACAACATTTTTATCTTTAAAAATCTATCCAAAATTCGCTTACTTAGCATCCTATGTGTCACAATAATACCTATTTATCGCCTACGCGGTTCGATACTTGGCAAAAAACTGAAATGCCAAGTGTCGTTGTCTCGTGGCCTGGCCGCGAGACCGGCTTTATATATTAGTGATATGATATGATATGATATGATATTAGTATAAATTATAAAAGTACTTACATCACACCAAGTGGTATGAAGTGGTTCACTTGTAATTGTAATCCATTTGGAATATCATATCATATCACTTCACTAATAAATAAAGCCGGTCTCGCGGCCAGGCCACTAGACAACGACACTTGGCATTCTTGTTTTTCGCCAAGTGTCGAGCCATGTAGGCGACAAATAGATATTATTGATTATTGTGATTAGATTAAATGCCACATTAGATTAGATTTGATATATTCATAGTTATTAGAATCGGGGTTCTACCTTGGATCAGTGAGTGGGGTAGAATCGAATCGGTAGAATCGTACGATTCTACGATTCTACAAAATTGAAAAATTGGGCTTCAAAATGTAACTAATGACTTCATACATAATTTTCAAGCAATGAGAATGATAATAATATATATTGTTGATAACATAATAACGACTATACAGACATTAAATAGTTTTAGAAGTAATTCCGCACTCGCATAACTCAAACAGTACACTACAAAGTCAAAATATTGGTACACATTCTTAATCACGAGAGTACGAGACCATTGTTGTTAAATAAATGTTGACTCCTAAAACTGTTTTCCCAAATAAAATATCCGATGATAATAGAATACTAAGTGTCAAGTTAGTTCAATTCAAACATATAGCTAGAGAATGACAACTACAACAAACTCATGTTATAAGTGTTTTTTATATGCCCAAAGTTGAGTGCATAAGACTCATGAATATATTCTTTTGCCCCAAAAAATTTAAATGGTTAAATAAACCTTTAAAAGTTATTTAAATTGATGTTTCATAAGCTTAATTATGATTTATATGAATAACATATAAGTCACTGACTAAAGTTAGTCTCAACTATGACACCCTTACACTCTTTAGGACATAACATAAAATATATAAATAATATGGGTATAGGACTAATTCTATTAGAAATTAGATCTCAAGAGCTTTCCAATGATATATTATAAGCTCAATTCCGACTTCGCAATCAAAAGTTATGGGTTTCGAAAAATTAGACTTTTTGCTGGAGTGGAATCGTTAGAATTGGTATAAAATCGTGGAATCGGTCCGATTCCACCGATTCTAACCAATTAAACTGATTCTTTGATCGATTCTACAACACAGTGATTTTACCGACAATTTACATCGTTTGGGTGGATTAGGATCTGAATCGCGATTTTAATAACATTGGATAGATGTATTTAGGATAAAAAAAGTATACATAAAATAATTTATAATTCTTTTGAAAAAAATTTATCTTTTTATTGACAATAGAATTTTACTTATAGCAACACACCACATATTATAATTAACTAGTTTTGTGCCTGGGCGATACCCATATGGTAGATAAAATTTAAACATAACATTTTTACTTGAATGTTAAATACGGTCAAATAATCCGTTCTGATAATGTAGGATATTTAGACATACGATATCATATGACTTATATTTATATAATAGTGTACTTTTTATAGTTTTGTTTGTAAAAGATATCTATGTTATTATTGACTTGAAATTATTTTTATTGAACTTAAATTATTTTTGCTAAACTGAAAGTATTTTTTACGAAACTAAAATTATTTTTACTAATTAAAACTTATTTTTACTAATTCTCTAATTTTTTTTAATAAATTAAATAGCAATGCATTTTGTATGCGGTTAGCGACACACCATTTGGTCGGACAAAATAACCCCTATAAAGCTGACCGAGTAACCCCTGTAATACTAATTGAGTAACCTCTAACACTGACTAACCCCTATCTATAACACTTATTGAATAACCACTATAACACTAACCAAGTAACCCCTGTAGCACTAACGAAGTAACTCTTGTAATAGTTGGTGACGCAGTTTAGCCAGCTACGTATAAAAGTTTGTGATTAGATATACTATAAATGGATTTTATTTTAAAAAAACTTTTTAAAACGAATTTAATGATGAGAATAGAATTGTGTTATAGGATATTTATTAAAAATTATGATTAATTTTGTATATATGAAATATTAGAATTCTATTGATAATAGAACTCCATACAACAATTTTATCTTAAAAAATCTATCCAAAAATCGCTTACTTAGCATCTTATGTATCACAATAATACTTATTTATCTCCTACATGGCGCGACACTTGGTGAAAAACTGGAATGTCAAGTGTCGCTATCTCGTGGCCTGGTTGCGAGAACGACTTTATTTATTAGTTTTGTGAAAACATATTAATATTATTAATGGATCTTATTTTAAAGAACTTTTTAAAATGAATTTTGTTTATGGGAATAGAATTGTGTTATATGATATTTATTAAAAGTTATGATTAATTTTGTATATATGAAATATTAGAATTTTATCGATAATAAAATTCTATACAACAATTTTATCTTAAAAATCTATCTAAAAATCTCTTACCTAACATCATATATGTCACCCTAAAACCTATTTGTCGCCTATGTGGCGTGACTCTTGGCGAAAAACTGGAATGCCAAGTGTCGCTGTCTCGTGGCCTGGCTGCTAGACCGGCTTTATGTATTAGTGATATGATATGATATGAATATCCAAATAACAATAGAATTTTACTCCTATATAAATAGCTACGTAATTATAATTATAGATATGGCCATGTATCATTATTTTTTTTTAGTCTACCATTGATTTACCATTAAAGCTTTTGAATTGGGTATTCTTCATATTTGGTTGTAATATTTTTGTGTATGTTAGTGATTTTGTTAAAAATTAAAGAAATAAAAAACTACTAAAATTGGGACTCAACAGAAACTGTACAATACAAGGGGATCTTGAACTGAATTCAGATCAATAATAGTAAAGTCTTAGAACTTTACGGGTTTTACAAAGCCTCTATTGCCTATTTACCAGCCATATATTACAAATGGGACAATTAGGCCAATAATATAATCTGTTGATTTTACGTGTCAAAAAAATAATTACTTTTAAATTTTTATTTATTTTATTATTTTTTTATCGATGCACTTTTCTTTTCACAAAATTATACTCCCTCTATTATTTTAGTGTCCCATTAAAATTTAGCACATATGTCGACATAAAACTTTGATAAACATTGGTCGTAGCATACCAAGTGAATATAGTGCAGCTTACAAAAACTAAAAATTATTAATAACAAACGTGGAAAAAGAATAATATGTGGTGTTTCAACTCTCTTTTTGTATCTAACATTTTAAAAAAATGCTAGTAATAATAATAATTATTATTGTTATTATTATAATTATAATAATAATACAAAACATGGTATTCGGGGCAACGTCCGGGGCATGTACTAGTAATGGAATTAAAGCTAGAAAATTGGGTTTGCATGTTTGTTTTGAATTGAGTTTAGAAAGATTGGGTAATTTTGGATTTTAGTCGTGTTAAATCATTATGTCCATGCAAATTAATCCTTATTTTAGTCACTTTGGTTTTAGGCCTTGTTTAGTTCAACTTATTTCTACTTATTTAAAAAAAAAAAAAAAAAGTTTAGATCAAATCTAATCAGGAAAAATAAGTTCAAATTAGATCATCGTTTTATGTGCAGTTTTTTTATCGCTAAATATCTTTAATTTCGTAGTAAAAAAAATTATGATTACATATTAATAAAATACACATTATTACGAATCTAACAAACCCACTTGATATAATTTTTTCTTATAGGTCATCGTACACTTAAGGTCAAAGTTTGGTCAATTCAGATAATCAGATCGGATCAGATCAAATAAACAAAAATAAGCTGAATTAAACAAGTCCCTTTTTCAAAAATACTATGAAGATTTATATTTTTAAATAAAAAAAATTAGAAAAGCAATCGAAAGTCTGACCAGTTAAGAAAAAGTTGATGAGAGATACTTGGTACTTCCTCTGTTCTCTTTTACTTGACCTGTTTCTTTTATCACGCTTGACAATGTAAAACTTTAACGATCAATAATTTTTTCTCCATAAGTAAAAATTATAAAAGTTATATATTATGATAATACTTATTGAGATGAATTTAATAAGATCTCACATGAATATGTTTTTCCTTATATATTATTCACAAAAGATGGTCAAATAAGAGGTAGTGAATAGTGTAAAAGTCAAAATGGATCAAGTAAAAAAGAAAGAAGGAAGTATATCTTATTGTTGATCATGAGAAATTGAGGTTATTACAAT